TAGAATAGGCAAAAGTACCTTAATACGAAACCCAGACAGATCAGCTGAGTTTAGATTGTTACACCGTTCTGTCTCACGTCGCTTTGCTGACCGACTGAGAGAGGACTCAGTGCAAACCGCCTTCCTCACATTGTTCCTGATATTCTGATGAACAGATATACCACCAGCTATCTGAGTAAAAAAGAATTTGAAAAAAAAGTAAATTATATATAATAAATAATCTACAATTTTTAAAATAATAATTCGGTTGTATAATCGTGGATGAAAGTAGACGGTTTCATATCTAAGCGTTGATAATTTTCTGTTGGCTCGACCTTGTTTTCGCAACTTGTTCGCAGCGTCAGATATACCTTGTAGAACGTACCTAGTTCTCTGTCTTTTGTCATAGTATTCATGATTTCCAGCTCCGAACCATTGACTTGGTGCATTCCCAAACGTTTTGCCGACATCGTGCTTGAGAGGCGCCGTCGTTAGCACCGAGTTATCAAAGTGACAAGTGAAGGCAATCCCCTTGACCAATTTTTGTTGAGAATATCTTACGGGATGATTGCCGTGATAAGATTGACATAAACACATAAAACAGAACAGCAACAGGATCTAAGGTGTACATCATTGTAGAGAGCAAGCACAAAAATAAATGCGTTCGGGCCAGTATCTTTTATTATTTATGTTTTATAATTTTAACTAAGAGGGAAAATTATTTGCAAGCCAGATGAATCGAAAGAACAATGACGGATCTTTGTTTATAAGTTGGTTTAAATATTCAAGATTGATTAATGCTTCCGGGTAACCGTTTTGTATACACTTGATCGTATATCGTATAACAAACAACTTAACATTTTGACTCGATTTTTCACTTCAAATGAAAGGTTGATTGGAATAGTTTCGTAAATTAGCCCCACCGAAGACCAAAGAAGGATTGCTTTAGAGTAAGACTGTTGGAGTATGCGAAGAAGTCAGCTCATCATCCTGCACGCCAGATCACTAAATTTGCTATTAAGTTAAAGAAGGATAGACTTACATTTTCGGA